CACTCCCATCAGTCCATAGAGAAGAAACATCCAAGAGAATCCAATGGCATCTGCAGAGATTCGAGTGCATGAAGGTAGGTCAGTCACATCATGGGATACAAAGGAAACTGGTTTATTTACTGTGAGGTGGTCACTGGTGCCTGATGGGCATCTTATTTTGTGAAGCCTTCAATAGATCTCGGAAACTGCTTATCTGCAAGGCCTGGACTGGGAATCAGCAAAGGAAAAGGCTGGTTCATGCCAGGCTTTGCCAGCACCAGAGGGAAAGGAAGGCAGCCGAGCTCCAGAGCCAGCAGTGCCCACCGAGTGCCTCAACTGAGGGCTCTGCTAGAAAGAAATGTGGTAAAGCTGCCGGCACAGAAGCTGCAAACTCCGTGGTTTGCTGATACTGTGGTGCTCTAGTGCAGCCCAGTGGGCAATGGGTGACTTTTACAAACAGCTGACAGAGGGCTCAGAGCAATGCTGTTGGTGCCTGGCTTTCCTGCTCTCAGGGGCAGCAGGGTCACAGCTACTCCAGCCCTCAGTCCCCACGGTTCAAAATGCCACCTCATCTCCAAATGGCTCGTGGTGGCCATCCTTTCCTAACCAGCCGTGGGAGGTGGAGGGAGGAGGAGTGGCTACTTACCAATAAGGTCCAGGAAGGAGAGGCTGATCAGTAAATTAGCAGCCCAGTTAAAGCTGTTACAGAAGGCAAAGGCTCTTCCTCTTATCCCAGCAGGGTAAATCTCACTGAGGACCAGCCAGGTCACTGCATGGATTAGAGAGATCAGAAAGACAGTGTGGGAGTTAAGCAATTTGTTCGGGAAATGGGCAAGGGAGGTTTCAGCAGGGGGTTTAAACTCGGGCTTCACCCAGGGCCTGCTGCTGGTGGTGTCAAACATTCATTGACCTCAGAGACAGGGCACAGGAGAACACTTCAAACCTCCCGTGTTCAGCACTGCAGGAGGAATGAAACAGCAATGAACAGGCACAGGGAGCAAAGAAGAAAGTGGAGGAGTTTGTAATTCCATCCACGGGACATGGAAAAGATCTGCTGTCAGGACATGCTCTTTGTAAAAAAATGAGAAAGGGGTGGAATTAGGGAAACAACATTGCATTTGGGCTAAAATCAGAGTTAAAGCAACATATGCCTTCAAGAACCCTCTCCTATCCTGGGGTTATTTAGCTTGAAATAATTTGCAGGGTCACTGTCAAACCCAGAAGACTTGCCCACTTATATATTTCTCTTGAGTTAGATGATGTTTTCTCCCATCAAGGCATTTAAATGTCAGAAAATAGTAGAGCTCATATGGAAGCAAGACCTAATCTTTAATCTCATCTGATGAAAAATAATGATTTCAGAAAAAAAACCCCAACAAAACAACGAAACTGATACTGAGAAACTTTCAAAGAGGTTCCACTTCCAGTTCTGCACTGACTTCCCTGTCACACAGCAGAAGCCCCTCAGTCCCTCTGCCCTTAGCCTTCTTTTTTTCTCCTCCCCAGGGTGCAGCGCTTGTGGGATACTCTGATTTTGCAACGAGCTTCACAGAAAAAAAAAACCATTACAAGGGTAGTTACAGCATGGAAGAGGAAGTTATTCCAAGGCTGTACCAGCCCTGTAGCTGGCAGAGCTGCAGTGCTAGAAAGTGATTCAGTGGGCAGATGGGGACATATTTCCAGTTCCCAGACACCAAGCTGCTTGGTACAGCAGACACATAAGGAATGTTTCCAGTAGGCAGCTTGCAGGTCAGCCCTAGTTTTATTCTCTAGGTTAGTGCAAAGATATATAAACACCACACTTACTTGGCCCAAATCCAATTGAGAAGGCGCTCACGAAAGCCATCATGCTCAGCAGTGTAATCCAATTTAAGACCGTATGTCGTGCCCAGGGAGCACCAGTGAGAGGAGGGCCCGTGCTTCCCACTGTCCCTTTTGTGGACTGACCCACCAAGTCCCTTTTCTGCGTGAGGGAAGAATTGGGAACAACCTCTTTGCTTTGGGTACTGGCAAAAACTTCTGTAAGGCTCCTTGTGGCAGGAAAACCAGGGGCTGCCTGACTTTTGACAGCACCCGATGCTGGTGGGAGGGGTGACGCAGCAGTCTGGGGGAATGCAGATGTCAGGGGGTGCTGAGTGAGGCTGAGGGACGCGTTGGGGTCGGTGGGTGCCTTGCAGTCCCTGGCCATGGCCAGCGGGGCCATGCGGCTGGTGAGGCCGATGGTGGTGACCGAGATGGCCATCACCACACAGCCAGCCAGGAGCAGCACTCTCCTGCCAGCCTTGTCTGCCAAGGCCATTGCGACCAGCGTGGCCACCACCTTGATCGCTCCCAGCCCAACTGAGGCCAGGATTGCCGAGGAGTTGCTCTGGAACCCCACCGAGTGGAAGATTTTGGAGGCATAGCCCAGCACATTGGGCTGCCCAGTGAACTGCTGGAAGAGCACCAGTCCCAGGCCCACCAGAGTCCGCCTTCTCATGTTGTCTCTGGTCCTGAAAAGGTCAAGGAATGAGTAATGCTTCCCCTGACAGGGCTCCCGCTTTGCTGCCGCTCTGTCCTCAGTGTCCTGCAACGGAATGAGGCCCTTCTGGCAGTCCGAGTCCCACGAGCTTAATTTAACAGGGTTCACTGGGAGAAAGAGGATGCTGAGGAACTGCATGGCTGTTGGGGCAATGGCCAGCCCAAACATGTACCTCCATCCCTCCTCCACGTCCGCAAAGACGTAATTCAGCGCGTAGGACAGCAGGATGCCCCCGGTGATACCGGCTTCGTAGAGAGACACCAGCAGCCCTCGCCGGTGAGCAGCCACCATTTCTGAGACGTAGATGCAGCAGGCCATGGATGAGACAGAGATGGCAAAGCCCACGGTCATGCGCCCAATGACCAGCACCATAAATGACCTGGCCGGCGTGAGGATAAGGCTGCCAACCAACAGGACCACGTTGCTGACCAGGATCGCTCTCCTCCGGCCGTGGCGGTCGATGAGCACCCCCCCGGCCAGAGAGGCCAGCAGGGCTCCGATGAGGACGGCGCTCACGACAACTTCTTGCTTGAAGCAGCTGAGGTGAAAGTCCACCTGCAACTGCAGCAGTGCACCAGAGATTATCCCCAGCTCGTACCCAAATATCAGCCCGCCCAGGAGAGACACCGTTGCGGACAAGAGCAGGACCATCACTGCACGACCTGGAAGACAAGAAAGTAATGCCAAGTTCAGTTTTCTGATGCTAGCAGGGCAGCTATCAGCATGCACAGGCTGGAAAAAGCTCTCCCAGGACACCCACAGTTTTCCATTTACAAAGCCACGATGCAGCATTTCCCCATAGGTCACCAGGTCACATGTAGAGAGACACTTGCAGACAGTCACGCAACCCACCAGGCAGAGGCACTCATTTGGGGTGCAGAACTGTGAAATCAGGGCTTTGTTAACAAAGTTAAGACATGTTTTTAAGTAGAGGGCACTGATTTGTAGTGCCTGGAGTTGTACAGGGGGATCCTCTGTAGTCTCCCTGGATTCAAATTACAAAACCTGTTCTGAGCAGGAAATGCAGCTTCTGCTTTCAGGTCGTGAGTTATTCTGCATTATCATTTTCATGTTTCAGTGCACGTGGCACTGAGCCTGCAGCCTCTACATTCTCACTTCTGACCTTGGCATTAAAAGCCCTGCTCACAAAAGTTTATTTCTCCCACTTAATCTTGCACTCTTGCCATGACTTTGTGGGGGCGCCCTGATTTCTTCATCTGTCCTTCTACAGCCCACAGCACCCAGGATCCCTGAGCCATGCACAGCCTCCTCAGGCTGGTCCAGGACCACAGGATAAGCTTCATTATGAGCTGAAAACCTCACTGCTGCCAGCCCCAAATACAAAAAGTGACTTTTTGACCTTGCCCATCCCATACAGATGAGCGTACAAGTTAAGTTTAGCTAAAATAAATAAAAAAACCAAAAGCCAGCAGCAAAAGCAACCCAAACCCAAAGCAACCCAAAGCAACCCGGCCTAAACAACCCTACAAAAGCAAGGTTCTGCCTGCATATGCTTCTCACCATGGGGAAGGGATGAAAGGGTGACAATGTGAGAACCATGAGCCATGTTATAGCAGCAGGGATTGCACTGGTGCCAGAGCCAGCATGATGTAGGGATCTCTGGGAACAGCAGCGGCAGTGACCTCCCCTCCAGTTACAATTTTGAAGCACAGGTAGAGTGCACTAGCTTTGAGGTTTGTGCTGGTTTCCAGCATGTAATTCTATCTGTACTCTTTTGTTTAATTAGAAATATTCACATTTTCTGTAGACTGCATGTGGAAAAAATGTGGACACAACCACCAGACCGTGGAAACTTTTCTCACCCTGCCTAAGGGCTTTTTTCCCCCTGACAAGCTGTGTTTCTGCTTGGCCTTTAATTACAGCTAGCAATAAAGATTTCTCAGTGATGGCTGTACATAAATACAAATATTTGTATTTATTCTGTAATCCTCTGTG